CAAAGTTTAAACTGATGTGCTGGTTCCTCTCAGTGTGTGAACTAAACATGCCAAATATGAACAAAATATGAACAATTTGTGAGCTATCGGTGATAAAAGAAATTTTTTTACTACTCATTAAGTACTGTATTTTTTCAAAGTGTTTTTTTCTAGTTAATATTGATAGGTTTATGTTGTAAGTCAGACATATAGTGGAACCTGTCAGGCAGGGGAGAGGAAACAAACAGGATCCAAGAAACAAAAGAATGAGCTGACAGCGAGCCTTTAGTACAGCTGATGCAAAAGATACAACAAATAACAAAAACCACAACATGAGGTACATGAAAATCCAAAGAGAATAAATTGGGCTGGCTGCACACACACACACACACATACACACACACATTGACAAAAAGGACAAAAAAGCAGACAAGATTATAAATACTCAGAAGTCACTGGGGACAACGAGCAGATGAGCGGGGAGACACAAGTGAAAGCAATTAACAACAGGTGAAAACAATCAGGGAATCAGAGGACAGGAAGGAAGCAAACCTGACAGCAGACATGAAAGAAAACTACGCTTCAAAGCAAAACCGGAAACAACCAAAGGAAACTAACAAACACCAACACAAGAACTTAAGATGTCAGAGACTAGGCAACACGGAGGGACAGAGGCATGAATGCAGAAATAAGGTACAATAAGACACAAGCTGAGGAAACTACTAATACTACTATTAAATATAACAATACACCGGAAAGAAGACAAAACAAGACAAAACAGAACATGTAACTGGTTACCACATTAAAAATAAGCAATAAAATCTTATCTTATCAATAATGTGAGAACTAAGTCTCACATTAGACTAGAATAATAAATAAGTCAAAATCTAAAAATTCAGCTAAGAACAAAACACAAAATGTAAACCAAGACTGGAACCAGTTCAACCAGTGACAAGTGACTCTCACAATAGGTGAATAGTACTTTATCTAAATGCATCACCAAAGTCATGGCAGGTTCACATTTTACTTAAAGTGCCAATTTATATGGCTTTTAGCATAATTTACTGATTCAGATTCCTCACTCACTCACTCACTCACTCACACTGGCTTTGGGCTTGCTGAAACGCCTTTAAGTGCAGTTTGTTTATGACAGTGACTCAAGAGCAAACTTTATTACAGTCAAGGGAAAAAATAATAAAGAAATTCCCCACCACCACTACCAGACATCCGCAGTCAACAGACCTTCTCCACAGACAATATACTAAAAACTTGGAGTGATGTGGTGGTTATGTTTAGCCCACTTTTCATTTACTAAACTCAAATTTCTTGTCTTGATTTAAAATTTCTCCAGCCTCAAAACCATTCTTACAGAAAACAACACGACATATACAGGGAGTGCAGAATTATT